TTACCGGAGCACCGCCCGAAGAGGAAAAGAAAAAAGAACACCCAACACTTGGAAGTTGGAACTAAAACGCGGGCACTACCCCCCCAAGGCCCTCCCTCTTTTTTAGCTGATGCTTCTTCCACGCGGGTTTCTGTCCAAGCGCCCCGAGCTAGCTGTTGTTCCATACCCCTTTCAGCCTTTCAGCCTTCAAGGCTTTCGTTGAGGAAACCAACGCGGCTAAGGGTTTAACCTCATGCCTCTAAATTTTTCGGCACGTTCCGAAAACTTGACGCGGAGCGCGCTGGTAGGGAGGTTAGGAGAGCTACTACGGAGTACGGAGTACTACTCATGGTGACGTGCAGGCGGTGGTTAGGCGTAGGCCTGTTCTCAACAAAAATATATTAAATGTCCGAGTGAAAAATAAAGATTCAAAGCCTAATATGGTAATATACCATAGTCACTGGACTGGGAAAAAAAAAAAAAAAAAAAAAAAAAAAAAAAAAAAAAAAATAGGCATACCTTTATCTATTCGTTTGCAATAGGGCATTGACGGGTTTTGCTGAATGAGCCCCTATGGCAATGTCTGTTCTATCCACAAACCTTACGCACAGTATTCCATTCCGTACATGGGCATGGATGCAATGTTTGAACATTCGGTAATAATGTAATATGTATGCACTTTGCCTTCATTTGGTGGATTGGAAACAATAAGCGAAGCTCATCTAAAGTTTCGGATCAGAGATTGGACCGGATCTCGAGTCCGCAAGCAAAGCACATGTAGAGCGGGTATCTTCATCGCCCTTCCTTCGCAACCCAATCTTTGACAACGAGATTTCAGATCTATCATCCGTTTCCATGTTCCCACGAACTTTGAAGTGTGTTTTGAATGGCGCAATTGATCGAACCAGGTTTTGCCGAAAACAGGGAAGATGACGTGACTGGAAAACAGAGTTGGGGCGGACATTGTTTCCTTGGTCCAGGGAAGCCAGCAGAAAGTCAGATCACATTGCGCCCCAGCAAATGGAGCGAAACAATAATCTGCGAAGCTTTGCCCGGATACATTTTGGTTTTCCCACGTCAAATAAACTTCAGGGAGCTAACTCTACCCAATCTCGGGCCAGCGAGGAACCAAACTTTTGGTTTCAAGGCATGGATCTGCCACCATACCGCCCCCTCGTAACTCCGTACAGTACATTGCATGTCCCCATTCACGGAGAAGAGTAAATAAAAAAAAAATATGAGCGCATCCGCGTGACTCTGCAGCCTGTATCGCGCATGTCCCGTGGGACTTGGGCCCAGGGAAAATAATCATAATCATAATCGTAATCATAATAGGGGAGAAAGGAGAAAAGGACCCTGGCACCCTGAACCCTGGAACTCAACTGGCTGTACTCCGTATTTTGAGGATTGAGAAGGATTAATGGAGAGAAAAAAGGGGGTTGATTGCGCGTCCATGGCGAATGCGCTGGAGAATCCAGATGCAGCGAGCTTACGGAGTACACTGTTCCCCTCTTCGCCCCAAAGCCCCATCCAGGGCGTTTTGATGAGTATGATAATGATGATGATATTTCCAACAGTTTTCAAAAAAAAAAGTGTTCACACAACGATAGCAACTCATCGACGTGGGAGGGCAACCAGCAGTGAGCGCTGCGGACGCAGCCTGGTAACTAATTCACTTCTTTCTTTTTTTCCCTTTGTTTTTTGCGATTTGTGAGCAAAACCCCAAGGAAAAATGATCCAGAGAACTGCTTCACACACAACGGGCGTTGGATTTATGTAGGAGCATCCCTTTGGCTGCCGGTATTGGTCAATACCAAAATTACGAGACAACCTCGCTTGTTTGACGTTGCAGCATGGGCTGAGATGGTTCAGACGGGGAATTGGGGGTTGAAGCATGCCCATTTCTGTGCTCTCTCTCCCTGCATGGGTATGGGGTCTCTCGAGTGTCTGGTCCTGTTGACCGAGTCAGTCGAGAAGTTGGCGTTCCTGGGCCGGAGGGATTGATTGTTCCAAGCGAACTGCTTCTCCAGCTTGCGTTCGACAAGCCTGGAGCGCGTGGACAGCTGAATCCTCGTGTACTGCGTTCAACAATCGACGAAGGGAGAAAAACTGCCGAAGAATACGGTGGTCAAAGCACGTTTCTCATCCAATAATGAACGGAGATAGTCGACTCCTCTGGCGAAACGGTGCATTCACGGAGTTCTTCGTATGGAATCCCGTCATTCAATTATTTTTTCTCCTTTCCGCCATTAGCCTGACCCCATGGGTGGAAAAGCATGAGGAGAGGAAAGGCCTGTCATGTTGTTCTGCTTTCCTTCTTGGCCTCATCATCCCTGCCTTGACCCTCTCCACCAGAACGAAATAGGAAAATGGACGCGAACTTGTCGTTGGAGCGGCGTTGATGCTCTCATCAACCAAGCTGACTCTCTGCTCCAAAAATACCTGGAGTGCCGGTTATGGATGATTACATGCACAGATGTTCAGTGTCATTTAACAGGCCTCGATCCCAGTGGCGGACAGCTCCAACAAATATATCTAAACCCTGATGTTTGCTAGCACCCCTGGACCCATGGGTTCAATGTCAAGACTGGTAGCAGACAGTGTCAGATGTGACGTCAGGTGAAATTCTATGGGGTGTGAGAATCATTCATTGTTCTTGAACGACACAACATACAGGTGGAGGTTTGTCTCAATAGACCTTGGAATCAGAAAAAAGAATTTCAAGATATGGGCAAAAAGCACATTCCACGACCCATATTAACCCACCCGTGGAGCAGATGAGGCGTATTGGCGCATCAATTCCCTGCAGAACACCTCTACGAATTTGATTTTTGATTTGCCTGAGAGAAAGGCAATATGATGAAATGATACATCGCATTGTATCAGCAGGCCCATACTCAAAAGACTAACATTCTTCATTTTACCTGGTGGAGTGAAGTTTTTCGCAGTGTCACCGCGAAGAATGCACCACGAAGAGTGCTCTGCCAACATATCTTGGTTCTTGAATCGGTTAGCAGGTTGGCTGTATGGCCTTGCGCGCTGCATCGACGCTGCTGCAGCCTTATCGACCCCTTCCACGGAGCGCATTCCTACCAAACCATCCCATTGACCTTGACGTCCTGCAAGGCCGGTATATCCTGAACCCGGTGCTGCCAATACGAGAAAATTGCATGAAATAATGATAAAAAAAAGATTACACTCCGCGTATGACTATAATAGTGATTGTTGTAAGAAACTGCGCTTGGCTGGCGACGCGCCTGCTTGCGCCGTAAATATTAATCACCGTTTCAATTATACATGCATCAACTGAGCAAGGCTTCATATAACTCTGACGTTCATTGTGACTCACTAATCCAGCTACCCCCATTCCCTGGTGAATCTACTTGGTTTGATTCAAAAAGGCAACACATGAGGCAAGAATACCCCATTTCGTTATATCGTCTCCTGCTATCAATGGTGTCCGTACTGCAAGCACGGATACCTACACATGGGGATGATCTCTCATCATTCCTATATTTCAATAAGCAGAGAACAGCGCCCAGAGAGCACAGCTGTAAACTTGTCTTCTCACTCCGTGTTGGAGCGTGATGGGTGAACCCCCTTCTGTAGAGGGGGTATGCTGGCAATAGAGCAACACTGACAGCATCTCTATCTAGCAGCTCACTCAGGACTCGGCGTAGGGAACAAACACTGAACTGGTGACGGATGATTCTGTGATTGATTGCAACACTCAGAACTACCATGGGGGAATATAAAATAAGAACGTGTGCAGAATAAGAGTTTGGTGCCTCGAATTCTTCATCTATCTTTGTCCTTTGTCCTTTGTCCTTTTGTATGTACTAGTTATACATCCATTTTGATATCAAATCTATCACCAATATTGAATGTTTAGGCTTAGGGCGCGTATCTGACTTTTTCCGAATGAAGGAACTTCAGATTTCAGTTCAAACGCATTCTCTCTCTCTCTCTCTCTCTCTCTCTTTTTTTTTTTTTTTTTTTTTTTTTTTCTATCTGGGTATATAATAAATTTCTTCCATTTACCATTTACTCGATGATATACTTTGATTATTTCATATTGGAATTCTCATCCGGTTGGGAGGTTTTTATCTCTATATACACATACGTACCGTTATATATGTGGATGTTATTTATTTGTGTCTATATTACACTGCTGAATAGTTAATACTCTACGGAGTAGGATCATGCACATTGAGAAAATTGTATCGAACCGATCATTATCTGGCAACCACATACATTCCTTTCTCTTGTTATAAAAGAGTAGTCAAGTCAATTTTGCCTCTGATCAAAACCCTGTTTTTGTGTGAATATATAGACAACTAGGTAATAAATAGTAGTGAAAGAGAAGCAAGCAGAAGCAGTCCAATTTCAGGCGCACTTAAAAATCACAACGGCAGCACTTATTTATAACCTCTGTATGGAAGAGCAACCAAGCAAGTAAACAAACTAATCAATAATTGAGCTATTTTTAAAAAACGTCGGTCATGCTACAAACCTAGGCCCGTGTGAGAGTTACTACTGTTGCTCATCGCCGAAGCAATGTAAAGCAATAATAACGTATCGAAATAACAAAAATGATGGCAATCGGAGGCAAAAGTATTAAAGGCGGTGGGAGGAGAAAAAAATAAGAAAAAAGGAAAGTCGAGTCTAAAATCAATTTTTGCCAGAGACATAGGCACGCATAAAAGTTGCGTAGCCCCGTTTTCATCCTCTGGAAGCGCGAAGGGGGAAAAATACACAGAAAGTTATGCAACTGGGAATGAAGTAGGATAAGAAAACGCGAAAAAGAAAATTTAAAAAAAAAAAAAAAAGCGTCGTCCGTGGCAGGGTAGCCAGTTCGAAACGCGAGGTCTATCAATATCATGAAGGAAACGCCATCATGATGAGTATAAAAATCTCTAGCAAAGAGAAGAGCAGGAAGGTATCGATATCGATATCGGGTGGGGATATCCCCATTTGTCTCGAGGACGGGTGAGCTGGACAAGGTCTACTACGATACGATGGCTTGGTGCGGCTGCATATCAAGAGTTATTATGGCCTTACCAGCGGCGATTATTGCCCAGAGGTGCTGCATTTGAAGCGGTGAAGCCACCGCGACCGCGGCCACGACCACCCCATCGGTTACCGCCGCCGCCACTACCGTAGCGGGCCATCTCGGCAAGGCGAGGATCGATCTGCTGTTTAGATTCAGAGAGAATAGCAACCAGATCACGAGCCTGCTTAGCATCTATTATTTGAAAAATTAGTATCATGTTTGATACCTGCGGAAAGGATGGGGGGATTCGAATGAAAAGCAAACGTACTGTCAGTGGTGAACAGGGTAATTGCAGTTCCCTTGGCACCAGCACGACCTGTCCGGCCGATTCTGTGAACATAATCTTCCGAATTATTCGGATAGTCATAGTTCAACACATGAGTAATATCGCGAACATCTTCACATACACTTAATGTTAGCGAAAGCGCACAATTGAGAAAGCAAATGGCCTGAGCCCTTTTCTCAGTCGTGTGGGACTTGATGCATCACTCTCTTCAATCTGTCGAAGATTCATATTTCAATTTTCCATGGGCTGGAAATGAATCGTGGTCCTGGAATAACCTTGGAAATGCAGCTTGAACAAGTTCAAAAGGAGAAGAACCCTTTGTCTCCCTACTTGAAGAGACTACACAGTAGAGAGACATAATCAGAAGCACTGTATGCTACACTGCAAGTAAGTCCAAGGTTCCCTCGGGACGAGAACCAACGATAGAACCGGAAAGCCGGGACGAACCATGTTTACCAACATGTTACAGAGTAAAAGCATTGGGTCATGGTCACACGACATCAATACGGGTTGGGGAATTCAATAACAGGGTACTGGGGAAGGGAGTATTGGGGGAGACCAAGGTCGCAGATTCATCATACCAATACCACGGGAAGCCACATCGGTGGCAACCATGATCGGGCTTTTTCCGGTCTTGAATTCGTTCAAGACCCAATCACGTTCATTTTGTTGTTTGTCGCCGTGGATAGCTATATACATAAAGTTAGTAAAATAGTGAAAAGATATAGATAGACCAAACTTACAAAGCGCAGGCCATCCATCCTGTCGGAGGAATCGAGTGATGTCATCAGCAACACGTTTAGTTCCAGTGAAAATGAGGACTTTGGAATGTTTATTGGCCTCCATAATACGGTCAAGGTGCTTCGCCATGCGATCACGTTTCTCGAATTCTGAAACAATTTCCACGATTTGAGTAATCCTGTGGTTAGCAGACAAATCCATAGAGCCAATATTGACCTGAATATAGTCGTGGAGGAAGTCCTGGGCGAGTTGCCGGACATCTTTGGGCCAAGTAGCAGACCACATGCAAGTTTGTCGGTCAGGACGAATTTGTGAAACAATTTTGCGGATCTGGGGTTCGAAACCCATGTCAAGCATACGATCTGCTTCATCGAGGACAAGGTAAGTAACACGTCGTAGGTTAGTTTTTCCTGCCTCCAACATGTCGATCAACCGGCCTGGAGTGGCGATACAGACTTCGACACCACGAGTCAAGTCACGAATCTGAGGCCCTTTGGGGACACCGCCGTATACACAAGTGTTCCGAATACGAGATGATTTCCCAAATTTCGTAATCTCAGTTTGGATCTGAACTGCCAACTCACGAGTAGGTGCAAGAACAAGGACGATGGGGCCATCTCCTGGAGCAAGGAGAGGCTGAGCGTTGATGTGAACAATAGCAGGCAAACAATACGTCAAAGTCTTTCCGGATCCAGTTTCGGCAATACCAACCACGTCACGGCCAGAGAGGGCCATGGGCCACCCTTGGGCCTGAATGGCCGTGGGCCTCGCAAACCCTTGGGCTTTGACCTCTGACATAACGTATTGCGGGAAGCCAGCTTCATCAAAAGTCTCCACTGGTCGAGGAACGTTTTTGCCTTGCACCGTGATTTCATGCTCTTTGCGAAACGCATCGACCTCGTGAGTCGATCGCTGCGAAACATTAGGGTGTTCTTTGTAGAACGATTTTTCAAATTTGGGCATAGTTGAGAGGTCTAAGGATATTTCCAAGTTAGTATTTTATGGAAATTGGTAATGTCAGTGGTTGCAGAACATACCCCAATTTTGCGTCTTCAAGCCGGCGCCAAGGTTTGACATTCTGTCACCCCCGGTGCCACCGCCGTAGCCGCCAGCTCCTCCGTATGAGCCATAACCACCGCTGGAGTGGCCGTGCGAGTAACCGTTGCTATTTCCGTAGCCATTTCCGTAGCCACCACCTCTGTTGATATCGTGTTAGCTGCTGTAATGTTGGGATGTCCAAGGACCATGTCGCACAAGTGGCGAATAAGAAGGACCAAATGATCTGTCAAAATCAAGACGGGACATGATGGGACTGTATCTGCTTACCTAGAGTAGCCGCCGCCGCCTCCACCACCATAGTGGTCTCGCGAGGAACCGTAGCCTCCACCGTAGGACATGATTCCCGACGAAGATATTGAACTTTTTTGTTGGGATAGAGGGAAAAGAACCTTGTTGGAAAGAGATGGAAAAATATCGCGTTCAGTTGACTTTTATTGGTCTTGGGTCTATCTTGCAAAAGCGACAAATATGGTCTACGCGCAAGAGACGTGAATAGGCCTGCGATATGAATCACGGCGGATCGCTAGGAAGGGACAAGAGAGAGGATGGGAGAGGATGAAGAAAGAAAAAAAGGAAAGGAAATTCCGACAGGAAAAAGGCGGCAGAAAAAAATATAAAACAGGAAGCGAGTGGCGCGCTTGTCCCAAAATAGTTAGTTCAACCAGCTAGACTTTCTTAGTCATGCTGGTAGCAGAGGGGACGAACCAATCCGTTACTCCCCCAACACTTGGGAATTCCTGGGTCTGGCTGCTGAGTTCCCAACATGAATGTGTGAGAAGTGCGTGGATTCGGCTAATTCAGGCAAGGGACTGGAAATATGAAATCGCCGCTTGGTATCCGAGTCTTCCTGGGGGAAATCTCTGCCGAGGGTTTCCCGAGAATTCGGCCCAACCCAAAGTATATATTGCTAACATAGTTTACCGACATAGATAGAGCTCTATATATCTACTATATCTTTGATACCCAACCCACTACAGTTGGTCCGCCTGCAGCCCCATGTCCCAGAACCCAATCTCAAGCTCCGTAGCTCGAATGAATATCTTGACCAATTCCTCCATCCGAGTAGGAGACACGTCCCTCATGTGTCGTTCTAGGAGCTCTGTTTTGTCGGGCAATGTACGTTAGGCAACTGTGGCATGAGAGGACTAACCAAACAAACATGGACGGATACCTTACCGGACCCAGCCTCTACTGCCTTCACATAGTCCTCTGCTACGTAATTGTCAATCCATTTCCAATACCTGTTCCCTGTAAGTGCGGTATTCTCATCGCAATGGAGCTTTTTGGCGATAGCTCCGTATCCAATTAGACAAGGTGAGAGTGCAACCTGTAGAGCTAGCCAGTCCTCCGATTGACCTATGTCGAGTATATATCTGCTGTAGGCAACACATGCTGCCACACGTTTATTAGTATGATCACATACTAGTATATATGTGCGTATGTATGTGTATGCATATTTCCCGAACATCAGGTCAATAATCACCTAGGCTCTCCTTGCAATTTTCGATGTCTTGCTTTGTCAACCCAAATGTTGCGCAGTAATCGAGATGTAAGTTCATTTCGCGCTGGACGTGAAGCACTATTTGCGCAGACTAGATCGTGATCATGCCGATTTTCGGTAGGTTTTCGTCAGAATAATGCTTGAATATGGGCGTGTGACGGTTTCTCTCACCATAGATATTCCGTCGATATCAGTATGTTTCGATGCTGCAAGTGCATTACTCCGCGCAAAGTGAACCTTTTTGTCGAACAGTCAGTGCTAACATAGTCAGGGTAGTTATCTCTGAACGCTATACCCTACCAAGTAATGGTAATCTTGGATCAGATAGCCCTTGAACTTTTCCACCGGCAGCGTTCCTTTTCCCAAACCGGCCACAAACTCGTGTTCCGTAAAGGCTTTCCATACTGGTTGGACGTCGGGACGATCCAGTATGTACTCGACAAATCGGCCGCTGCTTATTTATTTGTTCAGCACCAGTTAGTTTTGTGCCTTAATCCCGACACCAACGAAGAAAAGGTGAAATATTGCTGAGGGGCGACAATTGATACATACGGCGCAAACGGCAGTGAGTACACAGAATGGAAGTGATTAATCGGCCCATTCCCCTTTCCCATATCCACGCTCGTCCTGATGCCGGCCTCGACAAACCTGCACGCGGCACGAACAGCCCGCACCACAGCCATCCCTTGTGCGAGATTTGCTGCAATCGCAGAGGCAAGGGAGCAACCAGTCCCATGGGTATTCTTGGATATGAGAAACTCATTCTCAAACAACGTCACCTCTTGACCATCGTATAGAACATCCACCACTTTCGACGCTTGCTGGTCGGCTGTTGTTCCTCTCTGAAAGCTGGCCGTTAACGGCATATGGCCACCTTTGAGCAAAACATATTTCGGGCCTAGGGTATGGATCTGTTTTGCTATTTGGATGGCATCTTCCAGGTTCTTGGGATCTTTGGCAGCCGCCCCTGAACCCTGAAGCAGTAAGATGGCTTCGGGTATGTTAGGGGTTACGATGGTTGTCAATGGAAGAAGTTTCGTCTGGACAATATTCACGGCTTCAGTAGGGAGCAGCTTTGAGCCACTAGTAGATACCATAACCTTCCAAGAAAGTCATTGTAAGATATACTTGATATGCATGGAGTGGGGGTTGAAATCAGGAAGTCCAATATTACAGGGTCAAGAACGACTTTGGAGACCTTATGATGCCGGAGAGTGTCGGCCACCATCTCCGCAGTTTCCGCAGATGCCAACATGCCTGAATGGAGGATAGATTGATTAGAAATATGAGGACGATATAATCAATTGGTAAAAGTAAGAGCCAGATATTGGGATTCGAAGTGAGGAGACAACGAGGGCAGCAAATAAAAGTGCGCTTCCTCATATACGATGAGACGATAATCATGGAATACGTGTAAAAGGCTAACCAACCTAACTTCACCACATCCGCTCCAACATCTTCCAACCCAGCATTAATCTGCTTCCTTACGAATCCCACGGGGACGACGTGAATATCCTGCACACCTAATGTGTTCTGCGCCGTCAATGCCGTCGTGGCTGTGAGGGCATAGCAGCCATGAGCGGTAAGCACCCGCTGGTCTGCCTCTAGACCACTGGATCCATAACAGAGTCAGTCAAATCCGTTCGTGTTTGTAAAGCACTTTGAGTCGTGGTATGAAAGATAATTATCTTATTCAAAGGCGACGCGCAATCAACTTGAAAAGCGACAACGGAAATGAAAGTTTTATTTGGATTGGACATACGCTCCACCAGAACTGTCCGAGCCCGCGATTACGAGTACACGCTTTAGTTTCATGTTTCGTGTTGATATAGGAGTATTGTGTTTTGTATGTTGGGGAACAAATCGTGGGTTTGAAACAAATTCCTTCCGCTTGACATCACCGTGAGTTTAATTCTTCGAACTCCCCACTAGTAGAACAAAACTTTGATGAAGGATGGAATCGAATCAATATCTATCCCTGCTCGGGTATACATATATCCACGCCTTAAAAAAATAAAGTTCAGTTCTTTCCGAATAACAGTAAGGGAAATGGATAAAATAAATCATAAAAATTCAATTCTTCTACGCCGTATAGGTGAGTCTTATCATAAAAGAAGATTAAACTATCAGGAACTGCTGCAAGAGTAGGCACGCGGCCGGATGCTTATTTATAGACAATGGGTATAAGGAGAATGCCTAACAACGAATAGGAGAAGAAAATGGGCTCAAAACAAAAACCCCCCAAGAGATCAAGACTTTCATCGTAAAGCAAACCCAAAAAGAACCTCCATGTCAACCCATTGCCGTCCACATTTCTTCAAATACGCGTCCACAACCCCCTTTAAGGTCCCAAAACGTGACCGGTTCCACTCGACCATCGCGATAACCTTGTCCCGCTTCTCTGTATTAGTTTCCTTTTGAGCAGCCTCTTTTGCCTTGTCTACATCCCACAGTCGCGCAAAGTACAACAGTTGGTTATACAGTTGCTTATCCGTATATTCGAACCCCATTTGGCCGAGGCAGCCTTCCGCACGGCCGCGGGGTCCCAGACATCGACGACCGTACACACTCATCTGGCGCGTGCGATTGCCGCAGGAGGGGTCATCACAGACGAGCCAGCCTTCATAGTACTTGGATGTTTGAGCGCGTATCTGGGTTTCGAGTTGCGCAACTACAGATATAACTGAAAATGGTTTCCCGCAGGTTGAGTTGGGACATATGAGTCCGTTGGCAGTGCACATCTCTGTTGACAAGCACAGACCTTCGAAACAAGTTCGTTCGTGGCAGAATCGACAGCGAAGTGTCAGCCTGACGGCATCTTTGAAGCGGATAGAATCTGGGATTTGCGATTCGAGAGGGAATATTTCCATGTTCTGTTGATCGCGGGAGCTGGAAGTATTGATTTGGTACTTTTTGACATCAAGACCGAGGCATTCCGCGAGTCGCACCGCGTCAGTGCCTGGTATAGGGCCACAGAGTCGTTCAATTGGGGGGAATATTTGTTTGAGTAGGTAATATTCAACGTCGGGTTTGAGGCCGGAATCCGGTTTCATCACATCTTGCAATGTGTACGATCGCTTCGCAGGCGCTAAGGAAGACGTGTCAGAGTCTCCAGTGGTTACGATGTAGGCAATAACATCGTTTGGACGAACGGTCTTCCCTCGGGCTAGCTCTCTCAAGGCTACTTGTGCTGCGGGCATAGTCTCCTTGTTGGGATACTCGTTGGGGCGTTTTGACAATTTCTGGAACATGGTGTTAGTTGGATCTCAGTTTTCTACAGCACAGCGAGGTATTACAAACCATGTATATAACATATTTCTGCAAGGGGATTGAATATTCCTTTATTTTTTTCGTGATGTCGCGGAGGTAGTCGTGTACCTTGGTAAGAACTACATCTGAATCTTCACCGGACAAGATCTCATGCAGAAGTTTCGAAGAAACCTCCTTAGATAGAGCGCAGTACTCTCGTCTTTTCATGTCCAAGCCTTTGACTTCGAGTTGCTCGACATACTTGCCATCAACCTCAGTCATGTTAATAGCCGCATACTTCTTCTTTGCATGTAGAAGGAGGCGACGGAAGACATTATCAATGTCAATCTCGAGCAGCTGGTATCGTTCATTTACTAAACGTTTAAAGGTATTGCCAACTTTTAGTGCGTCCTCCATATTGTCCGCATTGGTGTTGATCATTACGGAGTCAGTATCACCGTAAATAACTTGCAGCTGGTTACTCTCGGCAAGCTCTTTTGTACTTCGAAGAATCTCGCGTCCTTTAAAGGTCGTAAGCATAGCAAGTGGTCGAGCGTAGAATCGAGACTGCGTGTAACCTAGACACCCGTACATAGAGTTGGCCGTGAGTTTTAATGCCATTTGCTTGGTGTCCCAAAGTGCAAGATCCTCAGGACTTGCGCGTTTGTCTTTCATGAGTTTCTTGACTTCACGTCGACGGTTGACAAGAGTTGCAATGAGTCGCGGGAGAATTCCCATAGATTGGGCCTTAGGAACCTCAGGAACATTTTCCTGATTTTCATTTTCGACCTAGAAAATTACCCATTAGCAATCATGTTTTTGAACGAGACAGGAAAGAATAACTCACAACTGATGTCCGGTCCACAGTTGTAAAACAGATGTTGAACTCTTGAATAATGCTGGGGTACAAGCTATTGAAATCCATGACAAGAATGTATTTGTCGTACAGGCCTTTCTCGGGCTCAAACACCAACCCACCCTTATATTTGTCCTTCTTTTTCTTGTCCGTTCCATCCTCATCTTCCTCATTCGTTTGTGACATCTGTTGCTGTTTACCTGCATACTTGTCAGGGCAGATGTACTTGTTCCGATAGAATTCATGCAACAAGATATACTCGTTCCGCTCAGCCCTGGTACCGCTTAAAGTCCTCGCCCACGAATTTCCTGCCAAGTTCGTGAGCACTTTAGTCAGGGGAAGCATTTGAAGCCTGAGAACGAGTGCAGCAATAAAATAAGTATCAGCTTCACAATGGTTGGTGTAATTCATCAGCCCCTCCTTTGAGGTTGCCCAGGATTTTAATGCTGCTTCATTATCGATGTCCCGGCGTAGATTGCCATCTCCAAGATACAATTGACACATCTCCGTTAGGCTCCACGATTGACATTTCAACATCAAAGACTATGGACGGTTAGCTAAAAGATAGATTTAAGAGAAATACGGGCAAAATTTACCTTCCCCATCTCATTGGCAATGTCACAAAGCAGTCTTCCAGCTACAAGTTTCCTTTCTGCAAAGAAGCTGGTACCTCGCGACAGGCTTTTTGGCCATTCACTTCTCTTCAACCTCCCAATGCGATGCCAACCAGGTGTCTTCTTTTCAGACAATCTACTCAGGAAAATGTTAAAATCAACCTCTTGTAGTTGATGACCCATAAGGACATCGGGGTCCATCTTCTCAAACAGAGCCATGAACTTGCTAAGGAGAAATTGCTCGCTTTTCTCCATCATCAATGTGCCGCGATGTTTCCGTGTTTCGGCTTCGAACCCAATCGGGTAATTATGACCAGAAGGCCTCATCACTGTAAAAGTCTTGCAAGGCAACTTTTCAGCGGGCGTAGTATCAGTAAGCAATACATTCTCGTAAACACGAGCGCTTGCAACTAAGATTTCTTGTTTGTTATCTTTCACATTTAGTTGCGTTCGGAATGCCAGGCTCATCAGCGTTAGTCGGGGGATTTCCAAGCTGTCGGAGTTTGGAGCCACCGTGATAAGCTTAGGCTCGGAGACCTGGCATTCTAATTTGCACCATGATGCCCCATTCACGGCAGTGAAGTCGGCATCTTCGAGCTTTAGCCAGCAAGGACCCATGATATTTTTCCAGAGCACAAACTGCTCGAAGAGTGCCGTATTAGTTCCGAAAACACGAGAGAAAGTCTCCCCCTTGACATCAAATGCGAGAGCGGGTTTATCATAAGAATACATGACTTTAAGATATTCCCCCTCCTTGGGAACGTCAGCGAGCTCGAATGCATATTTCCTTGTCGATACTTTACTCTTATGCGTGCCCGCCTTCGTCCGCGACATAAGGTCATCCACTTCGTTATAGACATCTTCCATGTCGATTTCCTCTTCCGTTTCACGGCCATGACGTACTCGGTATTTCCTGGGAAGAAAGTAAAGTTTTCGTAAGACATTGTCAATTTTAGCAAAGGCGCTAACGTAGGCCCCTGTTTTCTTATTTTTAACTTTTCCAAAGAGACATAGGCTGCCATTGACTTCGACATAATCTAGCCAGAAGAATAGGAGACTTCCGTTCTCCTCGATGGCGTCCTGGGCGGAAAGTTTACCAAATGTCTTAAAGTCAGTAGTTGCTGGACTGCTTAAAACGTTTAATTTGCTCGTGACATCGTTCCAGGACGAAGGATCGATGCCATCTGGATTAGCTCTAAGAGGAGAAGAAGTTGCAGGAGAAGGATATGTCGGCTCCTTGACTTTTGGAACCGGCCGTTTGCCCGTCATATTAATTCTAGCGCCATTTACATCGTGGTGCGCAGTCGTTTGTGTAACCGCCATTAATTCATCCTCTTCCTCCTCTTCTACCTTGATATTATTCTTGATTTTCCGATCAATGGCCCGTGCAACTGGAGACGATGGTGTTGGATCACTCATAAACACGTCGTCATCGTGTCCAGCATCCAACCACGTAGAATCATTCTCCGGATCCAATTCTGCTTTGGGAGCAATTAGTGGACTGGATGTGTCGTTTTCTTTTCTGTCCTTTGGTTGCTTGGAGGCCGAATCCTGAGAAGGAGGCGGTGATAAAATCCGAATTTTCCGCCGCGTCTCCGATTTCACTGTCTTTTTGGGAGGAAGACGAGAGGGTAGGGGCTTGGTGTCGACTTCTTCAAGGAGGCCCGCCATAAATGCTTCATCTTCAGCAGTGGCAACAGGCTAAAAGACACAATTAATAAATTAAATCTTAGCCCAGCCACCCTGTTAGCAATGAAGGATTTCTGTTGACATACCTTGGGTTTTGAGGCTTTGGACGCTGGGCCGGTGTTGAAGTATTTGCTAATACCATTGTTAATCTTTTCCTTCCTCTGTTGATCCTCCTCTCGTTTTCTTTTGGCAGCTTTGCCCGTCAATGGTAACTCATCGCCGTCGCTGTCACTGTAGTAGTGTTTCGAGTCGTTCCATTCTTCACGTCCATCGTCCGCATATCCTTCTCCAGTATCGTCAATCACGAAATCATCCTGGTCAAGACGCTTCCGCACAAGTTTCTTGTATCCGTCTTCATCGATTTCATCGTAAATGTTCCCTTCGTCTTTGACTTCGTAAGTTGCCAGGCGTTTCTTTCCGGCGGCTCTCAGTGCCTTCAATTCGGCGAGCTTCGCTCGAGCTGCGGCCATTGGGAAGAATAAAAGTTTTCAATGGTATTTGGAAACTGTCATTAAACGAGAAGAAGATATGAGAAAAGCATAAGACTTAGAATACTATGCTGTCACCATCGTATCGTCATAAACAGTTGCGAAGATATGAAGTTGGCTGAAGGCACGCCTCGGCACGCGAGGCCCTTTCTACGCGTGAATCTACACGCTAGCGCGCGTTCCAGTCTCCCCACTCCGGGCACATCAAACTACCAACAAAATTTCAATAAATGGGCATATATTCCAGAACCCGAGAGGTATGAAGAACACAAACATAGTCTTAGGATAGTTCTCAACAATTGCAAGTGTTTCGGCGACCGCGCTACGTTATTAAAAGGAATGCCTTGTATTCTAAAATTGTGAAAGAATATGAAAGAAAACGAGTGTAACAAACCAGGATCGGGTTGTTCAAAATACTTGGATTTCTAATTATTTTTGATTTGAGAGATTGGATTTAAAAACACGAAATCCTTGATATGTCCCATAGCCCGCTAAAAAGAAACCTTAAGTAGAAAAAACAACCCATGAAAAGAGACGTGCTCATCAAATAAAATTTATGCCCCAATTTTTATGTGTTTAGTTCATTTGCTTGATAAGAGCATTAATGTTCTCCTCACGGTTACCGACATCACCACCTTCAACGTAGTGCTTGAACTTGCGGGATCTGAAACCACCAGTGGGGTTGGAGAGTTTGAAGGGCCACAGGAAGTTGGAGGCCTGCTTGAAGTTGGGGCCGACCGTGTAGATCTCATGAATCAGATCCTCCATGCAAACGATGCCGTACTTTCCAAGGTTTTCCTCAATGATCTGATTGTCGGTGAGGGGAATACGCTGCTTGTTGACCTTTCCATATCCACGTTTGTAGATGAGTTCGCGGACACTTTTCAGGTTAGGATAACCGTAGGCAATGTAGGGGTTGACGATAGTAAGCATCTCCTGAGTGGCTTTGGTAAGACGGACGAAGACGCCGTTGTTGATCTGGAGGAGCCGAAGAAGCTGCAAAATCTTGCGGGGCTTGGGGGCAATCTTGTTGATACTGTGGTGGCCAAGTTAACTACTGGTTGGATACTAAGCAGTCCTCGGGTTGATATGGCGGGCTTACCCCTTGATACGGACAACGAAGACGAGCTTGTGTTCAGCGGGTACTTCGAAGTTGCCCTGCTGCTTGGCTAAACGTGCAAGACGGATCTTCTCGCGCTCGGCATCGCGGTACTCTTTGACGTACGACTCCGCGCGCTTGAAGATAACAGCACGCTTCTCCTTGTTGGCCTGTTGCAGAAACCCAAAGTTAGCACGAAAAATACCAAAGAAGTGGCTCTGGTAAGTGTTGCTGACTAAAGAGACGGATTCAGCCCCGAAAGATGGTTAACAAATCGACAACATCGACCGCTAGGTCTAGTCGCGAAGATTGGTATTTATCATCATATAAGTCCCATTTCCCTCGAACACACACAAAAAACAAAGAAAGATAAATAAATAAAAATATAGAATAAGGAATGTTGGTAGGGTTAAGAGGAGAAAACTCCTCAAGAACATACCTTTTTCCGCTTGATGAGCTCCGCGTTGGCCGCAGCTCTAGCCTGCTCCTGGCTCTTGCGCTTCTTCAGAAGCGTCTCAGGCACGAGGATTTGGTCCTTGGTTGGTACGGAGCTGATTTCCCAAAACAATTGGATTCAAGGTCAGTATAGTCTGTCCAGGACAAAAAGTACTTGGAATGAACCTCGTCGAGTGGAAGAACTGCAGCATATAGCGCCACATTCTCGGACTGAAGCTGTTGGGAAAGAAGAAAAACTCGACGGAATGTATTTGATCAGTGAGATACAGAGCTTGCGGGGGTTTTCAAACGCTATTACTACTAACTCCAGCGTCCGTCACACCTCGCAGAGTGAAGACATGGTGCTTTCGCAAATAGTTCCCCAGTCTGAAAATTTCTCATCTGACAAAACCCAAAGCCAATGGCTCCGGAAAAAATTGCTAGCCTAGCATTCATTCTCGCGATAGTTCCTCCGAGCAGGAAATAATATTTTGAGGTTGAGTAGCGGGGGCTAGCAATTGTTTTCAGGGAGAAGGCCGAGCCTTCAACCCCAATATCCCGACACACATTCTACCTCTATCGCCCGGTCAATTTGAAACGGAAGAGGTAAGGAAAGGCGTCAGGATTTGATCGAGCTGGCGCTGAGCATCAAAAACGCAGGGCAATTTTGACGTCTGGCGTCTCCAGCGAGAAGGACGAACTATATCTGAGCCTGCACACACGCACACGAATATCAGCGGAAAGGAAATGGGAGGGAAGCATACGTAGCCATGTCGAAGGAGGGACGTTTGTCGTCTGTTGGCGATTGGATTTGTCGTACCGATGGAGTCTGTCGAGGTTCAAAAAAGCGACAAAGCAGAGTTTGTGTGGGTGCGCATGTTTACGCTAGTAGATATTAAGTTAGTGCCACTCCCAGCAACTGAAGATTAGGGCTATTATGTCATCCTCTATAACGTCCCGTCTATCGCTCGAGAAGGTGCACGTAGGTCCAACACCAACGGCTATCTATTCTATATATCCTGTTCAAACAAAACATATGTCTACCCGTCGCGGCGTCGGCCTTGGAGCCTTCGTAAACCGCAACCAGTCAGCACAGTCATACGCCACCCACGGTGCCAACCTCCGCACCACCCACCTTACCTCCCTCCAGAATCAACTCTCCGTTTTCCAATCTCTTCTCCATTCCTTTGCCCTTGAGCACGCCTCAACCATTAAATCGAATCCGACCTTCCGCGCTGAGTTTGCGCGCATGTGTCATGCTATCGGGGTCGATCCTTTGGCAGCTAGCAACGTAAAGGGCAAAGGGAAGAAGGGTATTAGCATACCTGGTTTGGGTGAAGGGGGTAGTTTTTGGACTCAGATACTAGGCGGTGATGTGACTGATTTCTATTTTGAAGTTGCTGTGCGTGTTGTGGAACTTTGTCGAGAAACCAGGGGGGAGAACGGTGGACTTATTGGAGTTGAGGAATGCAGGGCGCGGGTGGGGAGGGGTAAGGCGATTGGCGGGGGTCTAGAGGTTTCTGAGTGAGTTTTAATCTTTTCTTGTAATCCATTCATTACCACTTAACGTTTGTGAAAGACTACGGTGAGCGTTGGGGGGGCTTGCAAATAGTATATATTCACATTGTATTGACTTGGACGGGGACCAGAGACGACATCCTTCGCGCAGTCAAGTCTCTCGAACCCCTTGGATCAGGATTCGCAATTATAAAAGTTGGCAGCAAACAATTCATCCGCTCAATACCCAAGGAGCTCAATACAGACCAAGCCACAGTACTTGAAGTGATTCAGATTCTTGGTTTCGTTACCGTCTCGATGCTGCAGCTTAATTTGAACTGGGAAAAGGCGAGGTCGCAAACCGTCATTGACGACCTTTTGGCTGATAGCTTGGTTTGGGTTGATACTCAGGGCGCGGAGAAAGAATATTGGTCGCCTCAGAATTTGCTTGATGATGGCGATTGAATTAAGCCGTGTCATGTGCACACGTTAGAACCGTCTTGCAAACAAAGACACTCAAACGCTGGAGGTCCTTTTGCTGTTTTCTCTAAACCCCCGGGAATATAACGGTCGACGATGGAGGGTGAACTTTAGCTTGATAGGGGATGGAGCATCAAAATCTGCTGCGAAAGTCTGCTACCGCGACCACGGCCCGTTTTCGAGGCAGTTGGGTTCACGCAAGAGGGCGGAGCGGCATGGTAATCGCACTTGTGCGTTTGGCGGCGATAACAGCCTCCCCCAACATCATTCAACAGGGGAACTAGGGCGCTTACGGGTGGAGGGGGAAGGAGGGGAATCGGTACCTACTCAGACGAAGACCAGGTATTATTTTCTCTGTTGAAACATGTACGAGATAGAGAATACACGATCTTCTATTTGCGGATATACAGTTTTCTCTACAAATGTGTTTATCTTATCCAATGAAACGGGGAGGCCGGTGCAGCCAGGCATCTTGTTGATTTTTAGTAAACCTAGAAACAATAGCAGTCAATTTACGCTGGAAGATACAAGATTAGTGGCCAATAAGCGTAGCCGCTACTCAACTTTAACCAAACACTTATGAATCCCTTGTAGGCTTTCCCGATGAAGCTCTGGAGCCCGATAGCGGTCTGCTCAGCAACAAAACATAGGCAAAACGCCTGCCTAGAATATCTAGGTTTAGAATTGACCACATAAACTCGACTCTATTTTATTTTTTGAAGCTACAGCACACAGCTAAACGAAAGCAAAAAGTAGTAGCCACCGTTGTAACGACATCAATATAAAATGAAAAATTAAAATCCGCAACGGAATAAGAGTCCAAGTGAAAGAAACATCAAAGGCATAGACGGGAAGAAAAAAATTGAAAAAAAAATTGAACATCGAAAATAATGGACATAGTCATATTCGTATAAATTGAAAAGTGGAAACCGAGCTGAAGGGAAAAAGAAAAGAAAAGAAAAACAAGCTATGCTTTGATCGCTCCTCCCAAAGCTCCACCACCGAATTGTTGCCCGCCGGGTCTCCGTGGCAATCCACCACCAGAACCTCCTCCACGACCAGCACCACCACGTCCACCGCGACCACCACTTCTTGCACCACGACCACCATGTCCCGAATCGCGCTGGAACGCATTGGCCATGCCCTGCGTCCGCTGTTCAAGGGTTTTCTCATTAGCCTCAAGCAGCGACATGGACTTGTCCGCCAACGTAACTATCTGGTTCTGAAGTCTGGACAGCTCAACGCCCTTGCGGAAGATGATAGCGTCATTGACCTGGTCGAGGGCGGCGGCCAGCTCTTCGTGCGATATCATACGGCTGACAATAGCGGCGATCTTCTTGGGTGACAGGTCGAACATGTCTGCGAGAGTGGAGATGGAGAGGGAGTCGTAGTACGGGGCGTAGGTGAAGAGGTAAGTACGCAGCCCCTCTTCCTGGATCTGCTCGCCGAGCATTGTCTTTATTTTTTCCGGTTGCGCCATCAGGTCCCAGATCTTGATGGAGTTTAGGGTTGCTGCGGCCTTCTTCCAATCGCCTGCAGCGAGCGCTTTGGCGCTCATGATGACACCGTCGCGAGTGTTTTCGGGTGGTCCATTAAAAACTTGGCGCTCGTTGTAGTCGAGCATGCGTCGGAAGGTCTTGGAGATGATGCGCCGCTTCAATTCGGGGGACGAGGAGGTTTGCGCCATCAGGGGAACTTCGAGGAACATGCTTGACGTGAGGTAGATGCACTCGAGCAGTTCCAGGTTGATGTGCATGTGGAAGGGAAGTTGGCGTTGGCGTTCGAGTTTCTCTTGTTCCGGGGATACGGACGAATAGCGCTGCATGATGATACCTTGAGCCAACAACTCCTTTTGTCTGCCACTGCCACAGACTTCGGAAAGAGTGTTTTGCGCTTCGTAGATTAGTCCTGCGCGGAACGCACAGAGACCGATCTGCACAAGTGTTCGGTTAAAGAGGATTTGGGTGCTGACATCAAAGTTGGAAATGTTTTCTGTGAGATGAGACATGAGCATTAGATCGCGGGCACGGTGGTATTGATCGTGGAGTGCAAGAAAGTATATCTGACACAACATAGCCCTGGCGCGGATAATACCATCGCTATGCGCGAAGAGGTAGTTGCAGAGAGTTTGAACAAGTGCAGGAACATCGGTGGTGCCGTTCTTGCGGGGAGTGATGTTCGAGTCAAGCTTCGCTGGGAGTGTTGTCCAAGTGTTCTCTTCAAGGATATTGACAACTTGAGATGGTTTGAAGTAAACATGCTCCAAGCGCCTCATCAACACTCTGTTCACGCTCTCTTGGCGGGCTTCAGTCTTCTCGGCCTTGTTCAGTATTTCAACGTAGAGCAACGTCCGTACAATATTGTTATACAGTGATTGCTCATCGCTGAGTCTTTCGATATATTCTGCGGTATGAGGATCGATGTGCTGAAGCGATCGAGTAAGTTCATCATCTAGCCGCTCCACGAAAGATACAACACTTCCAGGTACTTTGAGGGTTTCGCCAGGAGCAAGCTGAGGCTGTTTCTCATCATCTTCCCACTCTTCTGCACCTTCAGTGACAATGAACTCGGGGTGCTCTTCAAGGGTAGAAATCAGCGTTTCCAGTTCTTGTACGGCGAGTTTCCATTGTTCTGTGCTCATGTAGTTTGCGGTAGAGGAGGAGGTAAGATCGAATCGAGTAGAGATGAGAGTCAGCAGAACGCGGATGGACTGATACGGAGTCGTGGCAACCTCTTGTAACCTTTCCATAATTTTGATCTGCTCAAGACGGTCGGTGTTCTTCTTTCCTCTCGACTCGACGATAAGCCGTAGGTGCTTGAGGATGCTCTCGGGAGTATACTGCAACGTCCTTCCGCCGCGGCCAACAATCGCAAAACCCTCTTCATCACCACCCAACAGATCCTCCGGCCGTAAGGCGCGAGGTTTATCCTTCTTCTCAACAACCTCTTCTTCCTCTTCCTCAACCATGTAATCCTTCTTGTTCGCACGATATTTATCGATCTCCACAGCATATTCCTTGTTATTCTTTTTGATACGCTGTTTAACGGCATTAAAACCCTTAGCATTACTTGCGTTCATTTTCTTGGTCGATGATTTCTGCTCCGTGATGGTCTCGTTCATAAAATCCTCAAGATCGGCGATTGCTTTGATATAGATCTTAGGCGTAGATCCCGACTGAGCGATTTTCACAATCTGCCGATTAAGCTTATCGAACTCTGTTCGCACAGAAAAACGAAATTACATCATCCAAGTCAGCCCTTTGGTCCAAGCGTTTTATCATCGCAGACACCTGTTCCCGTTGCGGACTTTGATTCTAAGAGATAAACACGAAGGAAAAAGGAAATAAAAGGGGAACATACCGGTCGAAATTACCGCCCAATCGTTGATCTTCTCCGCATTCTCAATCAGCCGAATCGTCTGCTCGAGCTCCTCTAACCTCTTGTCCTTCGCACTCTTTACAATCGTAACTCGATCGTCATCGTCACTTTCGTCACTGTCATCTCCAGCAGCGCCAGCATCATGCTTGAAGAACTTGGAGGCACCACCTTCTCCTCCATCGGAGTCGCTGCTGCTCTCCTCATCCGAGGACTCTTCTTCGCTGGACGACTCCTCATCATCATCGGAAAGGTCTTGTCCCTCCTCGCGATCGCTGTAGAGTTCCTCCTCGTCCGAGGAGCTGCTGTCGCTATCGCTTCCGCCTCCGTGGAAAAATCGCGACATGGTTGGGAGCTTGCTCTCTTTCTCCTGTTTTGTCTCCTCGGTCAGTTGGGCTTGGGATTCTCGGGCCTTGTAACACTTGAGTCAGAGTATTACTTCGTAGTAAAGCGACTATAGACACGCGGAGAAGAAGAAGGTTAAGAAGGAGCAGAAGGGACTTCTATTTTCTCGCAGTCCTTGAAAGGTGTAGTTAGATTGAGCTGGCAGGCTGGCCTGGCTACAGAAATTTGCTGTGAAGGTTTGACTGACGATAATTTTAAGCGAGAGTCGCTAAACTTCATTCGGACAAGCGTTTTCCCAGGAAGGAGAATGCTTGCTCGACGAATTAAACGTCTTCTACCATAAATTGACATGGAGGAAGCTGGAAAACTATCCAACAATAATAGTGAGAACTATGAGGGTGAGTCACATATACAGAGAATAAATTTCTCGGAAATTACACCAAATATATTAATTTAGTGTAATTGCATAACAAAGGAAACGAAAGTTGGAAAGTGGAAGGTAAAAAGACAAGAGGTCAAATAGATCGAAAGAACACAGACTAGGTATGTTTATATATATATATCCCTCCCACTGATAGAAGAAAAGAAAGGAAAAGAAATCCCAACACGCCAACGCTATGCCCAAGGGAAAAAACAAATCAAAAAATCATGAATTCAAAGGAGTATGTGGGGAAAAAGGAAATAATAGCCCAAAAGTTGAAGGAGGGGAGGACGGGGGAAAGGAGAGAGGAAATTAGCAAATATAAAATTTAGGGAGCAATATAAGAGCAACAAAAGAGGGAGACAACCAGGGATATTAAACAACACGAATTAAGGGGCTGGTTGAGGGTCTTTTGAAAAAGCTTGACTGTCCAAAATATTCACAAATAGCGTGAGAGGCACAAGCAGAGAAGAGGCAGAGAGTTAGTTACCAGATGAGGGAAATGAAATCATCAACATCCACAAATTCGTAACCTTTATCCCCACATCCACCACACCCCCAAAGCCCGCTCGGAAGGTTTTCATCCGTATATGAGAGACAAAGAAAAGGAGAAGAAATAGCAACAAAATATAGAGGGGAAAGGCCAAGTTCCCGTTTTGTTCCGAAAGGCGTTAAAAAAACAAATCTCCGATTCCCCAAATTCAGCGTCATACCAATAATAGTTCCCTGGCTCGTGTCGGCGTAAGAAATAATCTTTTCCCCACCCCGACTTCCGCTTGAGCATTCGCATTTGCTCCAGCAAGAGCCTAAAAGAGATGAAGACCCTTGTTCTGTCCAAAAATGGGAGACCCCTTTTAACGATAATTCAAATTTATTTAAACCAGGGGTGAAAGTGGGAGCGAGAATAGGAGTCGCATTACTGCATTTCATATCTTTTTCAATGCAGGACGTCAGGAGTGCTGCAACATATAGATCTAGACAACAAGAGTCAGTCAAAGGTTGTAAACCGGGTTGAATGTTAGCGATTCCGCCGACCCGCCTCCTCCGCATTTGTTCCAGGAAACGATATTGCTCAGAGAAGCATGCAATACCGCGGGGGCAAATCGGAAGCGATCATATCGTCATCATATGCACACACGTACATATATATAATATATATATGTATTTATATTCAGGTGTATGTTTGTGTGTGGAATTATTCCGGCCCACCAATTCTTTCGTCGGCTCAATGCCACTGATTCTGGCTCATAAAGTTATCGCCCATTGCTCCATCTTCAAGTGTCCGGATGAAATCCCTATTATTGCGTCCATGGGTCCCAGTCCCACTAGCTCCAGTCCGGCTCCCCCTCCGGCGTCCAGCAGCGGCAGTAGAAGTATCAGCATAACCATCAGCTGGTGGTGGGTAGTATGCAGGGCTTGGCTGTAATCGAATTGGCGCGTTCGGATCAAGGTGGCTTGCGACTCGTTGGATCGACTGAGGTATCCCGCCTTGCTGTTGGTCCATAGTAGATGCTCGCTGCCGCCCAGCTCGAGTTGTAGCTTGAGCATAAAGACTTTGGGAAGCTGCAAATTGCTGCTGAGGCATATGGCTGGCTTGCTGTTGCATTATCGGCATTTGATGGCCGTATGCACCCGGCTGGGAAGGGTATGGTGGTGGTGCGCCTTGTTGATGAGGATTGTACATGTTGTTGTAAACCGGTGGGGGTTGTCCATGTGCGGATGGAGTGTAATGGTTATTCATCTGGAGAGCATACGACTGTGCTGCGGATTGAGCCTGAGCTTGCGCCTGAGCGGCACGTTGCTTACTGGCAGCTTCCGCTTGTTGTTGTTGCTGTACACCAGGCGCAATGGTCTTGTTCAACGCTGAGGACTTGAGGTTCATTGGGGGTACGAAAGGTTGGGTATATTTTTGTTGAGTGATGAAAGGGTGGAGTTTTGCTTGTTGTGGCGACCATCTCTCAAGAGGATTGATGTTCAAAAGACCTCGAACGAAATCAATAAATGCGACGCGGTTATTCATTTCTATCAAATGTGAGCAAAGATAGATAATTAAAGTGATAACTTCATCGAATAAATGTTGGGATAAGCTTACCTCGATCGATCTCCGCCTGCTTCATATTCTTTCTTGGCATCGAGTAACTACGAATGATTTCCGGTAGTGTCGTTGCCTGGAAATACTTTTTGCTTGGCTGCTCTTTCGTGTTGTGTTCGCGAGAGTACTGTTCCATGCTCTTAAGTCTGTAAGTTCGACGGCCAAACTCATCTTGCGTTTTCTCAAAAAATTCTCCTGATTGTTTGCCCATTTCAAGCATCCAATTCGGAGGCATTCCTAGCATTTCGGTGATCCGGGACACTTGGTTGTATTCAGAAGAACCAGGAAATAATGGAAGGCCCAGGAAAAGCTCAACAACAATACAACCCAAAGACCACATGTCAATGGCCGACGAATAGCTAGAGCAAGTTAGCATAGGTCGAAAATTGTTTCAGAAAAAGCTGCTACGTACGGTAGACCTAAGAGAACTTCGGGCGAGCGGTAAAATCTGGACTGGATGTACGTGTAAACAGTTTGTCTCTCGTCACATGCTGATCCGAAATCGATAATTTTTATTATCGGACTTTCGAGGCTGTTCGAGGAAAGGAAGAGAAGTCAGTAAATAGGGTGTGTAGAAATGGTTTGATGTGATGGGATGTACCTACTTTTTCAGCAGAATATTTTCAGGTTTTAGATCGCAATGTATTAGGCGGGCCTTATTTAAGAGCGACAGACCATTGAGTAATTGTTGTGCGAATACACGCACAAGGGTAGTGCTGAGGCCGCGGAATTGATTCTGTTTGATCAGTTCGTACAAATTCACACTGAGCAACTCAAAGACTAAACAAAGATGTTGTCGATGGATAAAGGTATCCCTTAGGCGGAGCAAGTGATGATCATCGTTTTTGTCAAGTTTGCTGTTGATCTAGACCGGATATGATGTTAACAATGTTTTCAACAGTGTGACGAGGGTGCTGGACATACCAGATCCAAAACCGACACCTCCATCATACTTTGATTGAAGTAGGCAGTTCTATTTTTGACAACTTTGACCGCCACAACCTCCTGAGTTTTTAGGTTTTGACATTTCACAACTTGGCCGAACGTCCCTTGACCTAAAACATCCAGAATAAGGTACCGATTCCTTGGAGAACGTTAGTACATGCTCCACACTTGCAACTACAGCCTCCACTCTACATGGTGGAGAAAATGGAGACAAGGATGGCCATACTTATGATTTGCTTCCTCACTTCCGAGAATATCGTTGACATACAGAATATAGTCGCTGTCATCGTTATCATAACCATCGTTTTTGACGCCTTTACTTGGTTTTGTAAGCACGCGGCGAGGATTCCTCGAAGACTCATACTTGAACGATGGATTACATATTCGATAAGTCGACGGTAAGTGCGTAGTCAAGGCTTGCAAGGGCTACCGAAAGTGTTAGTCTTGGAGGATCTTGGTTTTGGGAATAGACTTTACAAGGCAAGGAATGAGATAACGTACACTGATGAATCCACCTTCGGGATTAGCACGTCGAAATGCAGGTTGGGCATTTATCCTTGGTTTCAGCTCCTGTGTCGATTTGACCTTCACGAACTTGGGTACCGGCCCCCTCTGGTGTTGTTGCTGTGGCAGTAGGATATTATGCAGTGGTGCTTGGCCTCTAGGTTTTACGCCCTGTCCAAAGGCCGGGTTGGTCTGAGGAGCTGTAGAATGGGGATAGAACTGGTCCGGACCCATTTCCGCAGGCTGTAGATTAGGCAAACGGGGTTGCTGACGGGAGGTGCCACCGGTTGCTGCTTTTACAATGCCATAAGTACATAACTTAATTGAAACAAGAAGAAAGAAAAACAATAGGTGTCAAGAGGAGAGCCACCTACATGGCGAAGATTGGTAGTTCTGAGGCGGCGAGGAATATGTATTGGCTCTCGTAGGTGACGGCCGAGAGCTCGATGACCCAGCTGGAGGAAAAGTGTATGGGTTATGAGAGGTATTGGGACTAGCGGTGTAAGACTGGGTAGGAGAAATAACGTTCATGGGAGAATATCTGCGCGCAGCCGTGGATTCTTCACTCGATAGAAACTGTGACGAGCCACGTTGATGACTCGGTTTGGCAGCGTATTTCGCACGGTTATAAGGATCGGCGTCTTCCATGGTGACATCCTGATCTGTGAACTCGCCAGCGAGAGGGGTTGGAGACGAGGTCATGGATACCGTCTTCGACATCGAATTACCAGATGGCACTTTGGGCACTGTTCCTGGAGTCTGATATGGTTCGTACGTGTATCCCATAGGAGCTTGATTTTGCTGCTGGTGCTGATGCTGCTGGGGTTGTCCTCCACTACCAGCACTTGTAGCCGGGTATTTCTGTGTTTGTGGGGGATGATCCCCAAGACCATTGTTAAACTGACCTGGACGGCCAGAAGTGGCATCAGCATAGGCCTGCCACTGCGGGTCCATGATGAAATAACTCGCGAAACTGAGCTGCGATTTGGGGAATTTCACAACCCAGAAGCGGTGGACGAGGGAATCAGTGTGGACACTGCTGAGATCGGTCGTTGTGGAGTTTCTGATGGCTGTGCTTTGATGTCAATGATAGTCGAAGCGAACACATCGCAGCACCGCAACAAGTAGGTCAGCGGATGGAGGTAAAAGCAAGCACGTACTGGCAAAGCAAACGATAGAAAGCTGCTTGACGCAACAGCAAGAGAGTGGATGCTAGGTAGAATATACAGCGCAACGGTTCATGTTCGGTTGACTGTTGGGTTGGGCGTTGGGCTGAACTGATAGTAGAGTCGCAATTGGTTCGCAGTCATCACCCAAGATCCATGCAGAAGGCGAGTAACCCCAACGTTCGAAGGAAAAAATCGATCCTTAGTGGGTCTAAGGAAAGGTGGGGGAGATGAAGATAACTGTATATCTCGTGGGCAAGGGGCGAGGAGCGAGAAATGGCAACGATGGTGTGTCGTTTGCAGGAGAGGCGCAGGAGATAGAGAGGGAGGGGAAGTCAGGCAACCCGAAACCGCACCTCAGCAACTCGATGAACAAGTTCTCAAGACACAATCGACCACCGGCACAGAGACAGGCGACGGGGGATTGGCTGGGCGAGGGTAGAAGGGATGGGGTTGACGAAGTAAGAGAGTTGTGGTGAGGGATGGTGGGAGGGAAGATGAGGAAGCCAAGCCAAGAGCGGCGGCGAGCGAGAACTGGAAGGATCACCGCCCGCTGCTGATTGATGTTATTTTCCAACTACTCCGTAGTTACTCAAGAAACGTTATGCAAGCCTTGACGCTGCAGAGTATAAATATCTTTGACAGAATGCAAAAGGAGTGAGATGAACAATCCTCTTATTCCTCTTCCATTATTTCAAATTACTTTGTTAATTCCATTCATGTGAGGCAGTATACGCAGCGTACAGCACATGCTTCTTACTTCATGCACCACATGCGGATAGCATTATTGTCCCAAGGTTACGCAACAATGCTTCTGCTGAAGAGGTGAAGAAAGAGGAGAGTTGGAAAAGGTCATCCATCCCGCAATGTGTTTTCCTACTATATCTACATGGTTGCCCAAGACAGCCGAAGTAGGAGGCTTAGATCTTTGTGCCTCCACATCAAGAATGGGAGTATAAGACTATGGCCTCAAAATTGCGCAGAAGAAAAAGTGAGAGCATGCCCATCTGTGCGAGTTTTAGTATGAAGGTGAAACCGGCAAGCCAGACTCACCCATTTGCATCCGCATATTTCGGGGTTTAAGTGGGCATTGTTGTTTGCATTTGAAGGGGGGAAGGGTGAAATGGCCAAGGGACATGTGCATCAACTTCAGGGTTAGATGGTTTTTACGCAGACCGCTTTTAAATTCTCGCTCGGAAATGCTCAATGGCCCATCGCCTGTGGGCTCATTCCTACTGGTTGTACGGAAGTAGTTTGTCGTCAGATAATTTCTAATCAAGGAGGTTACTATATCAGATCTGCCACCAGCCTCCTCTTCCTATCACTCCTTTCAGAACATGCACAGATGAAACGGCTGTTGTATATCATATTTTCATATGGAGTACTCTTACTCTTATTGCTGGCAAAATAAGAAAGATAGTACATTTCCACATCATGTTCAAGACTCTCCACCATCTGACTGGGATTAGTCCAGCCTCTTTTTGAGGCTTCTCGGTTGCCCTTTCATGAATCGAATCGCTGTTTGCCACTGTGACCAGAACAGCCAAACTCCCTTGAGATAGTCTTCAATCCATATTCCGCTCTGATCTTGTTGTCCCTCCCGCCAAACTGCCATGCGAGTTCCAGAACTTGGTGACTAACAAAGTTCGGACCATGAAGAGTCTTGGCATAAATCTCGCGCCAAGAATGCGGCTCTTGCCCTGTCGAGTCATCGGCTCTGAACACGGGAAGACCACCGCAGCGTTACCCGGGTATGACGAGCTGAGGACGGAACCAGACTGGTAATCGGTCGGAGGACCGGGTGCGACTGTTATTCTTCATGGTCTTTGCAGCCTGCTAGGATGTGCTAAGACGTGAAGCGTATGTTGGATGCCTGCTCGAAATTGAACTTTACCCAGGCTGAGCCAGCGATGTCGAGATGAAGAACTGACAACATTTTTGTGGTCTCTTCCATAGTAATCTACTCACTTTGCCTTCCTTTCCGAAGAAAACTCGTAAACGCCTTGGCCGCTCTCATCTAGATATCACGGACGTTATTGAGCAAAAAATTGGCTAGATACACGCGGATGGCGCAGAAGCGGTCACACTTAAATCCCCTTCCAATATCTATATAGATGCCTCTGCAGTTTGGAGCCTCTTGAGCAAAGAAGCCTATCTCATAATATGGACCAAAGCCAGAATGCAGACACGCAAGGCGTGGCGCATGCGGTCGAAGACACCCAAGCTAGTGGCCAGGAAGAAGAGCACGATGTAAAGCCATCCATACCGGAAACCTCTCAGTCGACTGTGGTTCCTGATGCGGAAGAAAGCCGATTGAGAGAGCTCCAGGCGGACGTTCGAAACCAAGATGATTTGGAAAGAGATATCGGCCGCCAGGTACGTGCTGTTCCATTACATTACATATTGTTTAATTTCTATGAGCATATCGATTCAAATGGAAGAACCATTCTCACCTTTTGATAACCCGAATCAGGCGGACAAGCTTCTCATCGAGCAAGCGGATGAAAGGGACCACAAAAGGCTGGAACGTACACTTCTAGAGAAATCGTATGTGAAGCTGTCCCCTCGCCACCCACTACATGCCATACCTCGAACATTGCAACTGACAATGGCGATCTTGATTATTACAGGAAATTAGAATCGCAAATCTTGAGATTACACCAGCGACTCTCCCAACCGGTAGGTACAGCCGTGCGGGTTCGCACAACTGCAGAGATAGAGAACCTAGAATCACGGATATCATCACTCGACGCCGATGCCGGGCAGATCCAACAACGTATCGATGAGAGGCACCAAGCTCTCGAGGAGGCGGGCCAGGTGTCTGGGTCCGGAAGACTGCCAAATGAGTCTCGAAGAGATTATCTGATACGGACGGGCAAAATCACACCGTTCTCGAAAATGGGAGGAGGGTTTGGGGGCTCCAGCACAGCCACACTAACGGAAGCCTTGATCGATGCGGAGGATGAACGAGAGCAGGAGCTTGCGTTGCAAGAATCAGCGTCTTATCGCGAACCTTCCCATCGCAACCTGCAGCGTCCAGGATTCGATTACGATGAGACGAGAGCGGAAAGTGATTCCCCTGATCTCTCCCTCTCGCGTCCGCAGAAGCGTCGGAAAAGAGTATCGCATGCCCAGTTGAGTGCTGAAAGGGGCGACGAGGGTGTGGGCGTATCTCATCCTTCATCAAGACTATCAACCCCGACGTCTGATGCGGAATATGTTGACTCTGGAGTCTTCTTCGGGTCCGGAGAAGAAAGCTTATCGGATGAGTGGGATTTAGCCTCTGACACATCACGGGGGAAATCACGAAAGAGGCGGCCTAAAAAATCCAGAAAGAAGGCCGCAGAGAAGGTCGCAGAGGATTTCGAGGGTGTGGATGACGGCGATGAGATGGTTTATCAATCTCGACTGGAAGATTGGGTACATAGGAGGTCGGCAGCACGGAAGCGTACCCCGAATGAGGGTGATACTCAAACTGCGGATGCGGCTGATTCGACGCGTGGGGCCATTGAAGGGGACAGTACCCTTGTGGAAGATGAGAAGGAATGGTTCCTGCCTCATCCAAAAGTCCCTGACAAAGTGATAGATGGTGGTTTTCGTATCCCGGGAGATATCTATCCATATTTATTCGACTATCAGAAAACGGGAGTCCAATGGCTTTGGGAGCTCTACCAACAGAAGGTAGGGGGAATAATCGGTGATGAAATGGGCCTTGGTAAAACAATCCAAGTCATTGCCTTCCTGGCTGGGCTGCACCATAGCAAGAAGTTGACCAAGTCTGTCATTGTTGTCTGCCCCCCAACCGTCATGAAACAGTGGGTAAACGAATTTCATCGATGGTGGGCCCCGTTCCGAGTGTCAATTTTACACAGTTCAGGGAGTGGTATGGTGAATTTACGAAGCGAGAGCTTTGCGGATGCACGTCTGGAATCCCAGCTATGGGAGCCAGATCAGCCTCGCAGACTCCCAAAGGAACAAAAGGCGGCGAAACGGATTTTAAAACGGGTCCTGGAGGAAGGACATGTGCTTGTGACCACTTATTCCGGGTTGCAAACCTACCGTTCCCTGTTAATTCCAGTTGATTGGGGCTGCGCGATTCTTGACGAGGGACACAAGATCCGGAATCCAGACACGGCTATTACGATCCACTGCAAGGAATTACGCACCGCACATCGCCTCATTCTCTCCGGAACGCCCATGCAGAACAACCTAACTGAGCTTTGGTCGTTGTTTGACTTCGCCTTCCCCATGCGACTGGGCACGCTGGTCAATTTCCGTAACCAGTTCGAATTTCCAATTCGTACGGGGGGGTATGCCAATGCATCAAATCTGCAGGTGCAAACTGCGGCCAAATGCGCAGAAACGCTCAAAGATGCCATCAGCCCTTATCTGCTTCAGCGGTTTAAGATTGACGTCGCTGCCGACCTTCCCAAGAAGAGCGAACAGGTGCTCTTCTGTAAATTGACGAAATTGCAAAGATCGGCGTACGAAGCGTTTTTGGGATCTAATGAGATGTCATCGATCCTCCGAGGTCGCCGAGAGGCTCTGTACGGCATTGACATGCTCCGCAAGATTTGCAATCACCCTGATCTCCCTGAGCACAAGGTGTTATCTAAAAAGCCAAGCTATAACTACGGAAGTGCCTCCAAGTCCGGAAAAATGCAGGTCGTCAAGTCGTTATTGGAGCTGTGGAGGGATACAGGTCACAAAACTCTCCTATTCACTCAACATCGAATCATGCTAGACATTCTTGAACGATTCATAATATCGATGGGTGGGTTCAAATACCAAAGGATGGACGGAAACACGCCGATTAAATTTCGGCAAAAAATGGTCGATGAGTTTAATAATAATCCAGATATACATGTTTTCCTCCTGACCACCAAAGTTGGTGGTCTCGGGGTGAATTTGACCGGGGCGGATCGGGTGATCATCTATGACCCGGACTGGAACCCTTCGACTGATGTCCAAGCCCGCGAGAGAGCTTGGAGATTGGGCCAAAAACGGGAGGTCACCATATACAGGCTTATGACAGCGGGGACCATTGAAGAGAAAATCTACCATCGCCAAATCTTCAAGCAGTTCTTGACCAATAAGATCCTGAAGGACCCAAAACAGCGGCAGACGTTCCAGATGAGTGATTTGCACGATCTGTTTACCCTTGGGAACGATGGGCGGACGGAGACGGAGACGATCGAGTTGTTCAAAAACGTGGAGGTCACGTTTCAAGAATCTAAGGGCGCTCAAATCGCAAGCCCCGAAGGTACAACAAACCCAGCCGCGGAAGCAAGCGTTACCGGCCCAGACCGTGAAGAACAAGAAAAGATTAGCCGCGTCACAGGCGTGTCTTCCCTGGAACGTTTCCACGAGGCTCCCGAAACTCCAAATGCTTCCAAAACCGATGGCGCAAGAGCGCCCAACTCAGAAGCGCGATTGATGGAAGGCATATTTGCCCGATCCGGTGTGCACTCCGCGCTCGAGCACGAGCAGATCATCAATGGCAAACGAGTCATAAAGGCAGACCCTAAAATCATCGAGGCCGAGGCTAAAAAAGTAGCAGCTGAGGCCGCCAGGGAGCTTCTCAGGGCAGGGGAACTTGCCAAATCCATCCCGGTTGGCACACCTACCTGGACCGGCCAGTTCGGCGTCGCAGGAAGGCCCGAGGACACGATGCAGCCGCCGCGTGGAACCGTTGCGTCTCCACTCCCATTCGGGCGCGGCAGCGCCATACGCAGAGCCACCGGCGGCCCGTCGTCTGCCAGCCTCCTTGCCAATCTCACGAATCGCACCGTCGGAGATGGTGGGAGCGGCTGGAGCAACAGCAGCCATGCATCAGGCACCAACACCCCTCGTTCTGGTAGTACCCCGGGAGGCGCAATCGACGGCGGTAGCCATCTCGGAAGCAGTGGCGGTAGCAGTAGCAGTCAACCGCGCGGCAAGGACTTTCTGAAGATGATCCGCGATTATATCATGGCGCAGGGAGGGTCGGTGCGCACGCAGAATCTCATCGATCATTTTAATCGGTTCTGCGACACGCCGCGCGCAACGATGGAATTCAAGGAGATGCTGCGGACCATTGCTGTTTTGGAGAAGACCGGGGGGAGGGCGAGGGGAAAGTGGGTGCTTCGACCGGAGTATGCGACGGGACATGATCCTACGGGATTTTTGTAAATAATAGCATCCGACTACAACATATATACCATGAACTCTAGTTGCGGGAAGCCATTTAATCTTCTTGTCTGACATGGGAGGAGAGGGTGTAACGATAACCAACCAGATCGTCTAGAACCTGATTTAGCAGCCAAAAAATACAGTTAGTTAACTAGTTACTTTCCAGGTTGTTTATATGATAAGCACCTTAATTTTTAATGTTTACATAGCACAGCAACGCGCCAGCGATCGGAACAACGAACCAAACACGCGAAAACAGCAGCGGCGACAAATGATAGAAGCTGATATCTGATATGCAAAGCCCCCATGCACTCTCCGGGGGCACCGCCATTGCAGTGCCAGCAGCAGCTCGCGATGGATGCCCAAAGGCGCCTTTGACTGAAGCCAACAAATATCCCAGCCAGGGGGGTCTGTCTCACCCGCCTCATCACGTGATGCCCGCCTTGTCACACCACCCATGTCTGGATTTGTGAGCTTCAATGCTCCTGGAGGCCTGCTGTGTCCAGGTCTGTTTATTTGTTTGATTGTTTTTTGGTTTTTGGAAATTGGAAATTGGAAATAAGAGGAGGTATTCGAGCTTGCTTTTCCTTTGTCTTTTTCCTTTCCATTCCCAAGCCCCCGGGCCCCAGCTCCCCCAGCTCCAAAAATATCCCTTAACCAAACCAGTTAAAAAAGCTAGTTAAACCAAACGAGAGCTGGCTGGAACCCCGTGCAGGGATTACGTAAGGCGCCCCTCGATCTCGATCCGGCCTTGTTTCTCCCGCGTAAGACAACGACAAATCCTTCCCTTCCATCCCTGCTCCACGCCTTGCAGTCTTCCTTCGCTCCTCCACGCCCGCCATCCTCCTCCTCGTCCTCTCGCTATCCAGCACCGTCGTCTCTCGCTAACCGTCGATTCGAGTTCTGTGCTTCTGGCCGTTTGGATATGAACAGCGTCTCCCTCTCGCCACTGTTGCTCTATCTTTAAACGCTGCACTGCTGGGCCACTCCATTCGCTATTTTTTTCTCCGCCTACCTTGTCTTTTCTTCTTCTTTTTTTTCCCTTTTTAACTCTTTTTTTGGAGCGAGAGTGGAACCATCTCTTCTTCCCTTCTTCCCGGTTGGAGCCTTTGAGAATATTATCTTTTTAATACACTTCTCATGCCCGCTGACGCCTGAATTTTTTTTTGACCTCAACAACAAAAGCATCCACACTCGCTTCGAGCTGCCAACACAAATCGTCTCGTTCGCTTATCCTCCTCCTCCTCCTCCCGCTGATTCGAAACGCCCGTTTTCCTCTCTAAGAATCGAATGAAAGAAGAGAAGGGAGAATAAAAACAAGGCACGCAACAGGATGTTTACCGCTGCCACTGGATTCTGACGACTCATCGATTTACTCTGCTTCGGATAACGAACGTCCTCACGCGATTGTTTCAAGAAGAAGTCTTTTTCACACCTCTTCTTTTTCTCTTCTTCTTCTTCTTCTTCTTGGTTTTGGTTTTGGTTTATTGTTTGGGATATTAGGTTGCTGGACGGGACGATACATCCTTGTTTTTTTTTTTTTTTTTTTCCTTCTTTTTTTTCCCCTTCCTTCGGTCGGGTCTGCATTTGTTGAGTTGGCTTTTCGGTGTTCTAGAAAGGCTCCAAGCGCTCAAGTCAATATGCGGACCGTCAGCCACATCTTCATTCTTTGTTCGTTTATTCTGCTGGTGTCGTATGTGGGAGCCTCGCAGGGGGATGGTAGACACGGTGTCGCACAGCCAATTGGCTTAGCACGGCGGCAAGATCATGGTGAGTTTTATTCTGTTTTATCTTTTTTTTTTTTTTTTTTTTTTTTTTTTTTTTTTTTTTTGGAAAGGGAAAATTTTCACTTTCTGGTCTATATATACTCCTTCTAACTAATACGTCTCAGAGGGCACGACGGATAAGCCTCAGAAAACGGGGGATTCCACTATCACTGACGCTCCGACAAGGACTGGGGACTCAACAGCAACAGATGGAAATACCAACGGGAACACTGGTAAAACCACTGGCGCAAAGGAAACGGGTACCAAGGGTACCAAAACATCAAAACCCAAGTCCACGAAAGTCCCCGTTGACGCCCCCGCCGGTGGCATTAAAATGGTCCAACCAGCTATAACCGATCCGGCCACATATATCAAGATCGGGACAACAGCAACATTCAAGTGGAATTACACGTCGCTGATCATCACCCCGTCCGCTGTCGAAGTGGTTGCGTCCTGTAGCAAAAACTCCCATGCATATACCATCTCCGGCAATATGAGCGTTCAAGAAACCGCACATGTTGTGTGGGACACCGGTCGCTATCAGACAAGCGATGTGCCGTTACTCACCGAAGATTACACGCTTATGGTCTATGACAGTTCTAAGGACCCCTCTGATATCCCTCAGGCTGGCCATTTGGGTGCCCAACGCCCGTTGATGTTCGGGATGTATTATCCTCAGGCCTACACTCCACGCAATGGTATGTGGGAATCTCATTTTGCTTCCGCGTCATGGAAGCCCTTTTAACCAACCCTACCTCCTTCCCTCCCTCCCTTTCAACTCGTTTTTTTTATTTTTTTTATTTTTTTTTGTTCTGGTAAACAGTTTTACCAATTTCTAACAAACTCTGTTTTTCACCCCTGGCAGATTTCGTCTGTGCCGGCTGCAACGCTGCCGTCTCAGACATGGAACGGCAAGCTCTCAAGTTCATCGTCGGCATGGCGGCCGTCACGGTTCTCTCGTTCACATGGTTCGTTTCGGGCGCTGGTACTTTGTAAACGAAAGAAAGAAAGAAAGAATCAAAGAGGCACAAAATGCGAAAGAAGAAAGAAGCGCTCCCGCTCCCGATCCCGATTCTTTTTTTTCTCCCTCATACCCATACCCCTCCCTTCCTAACTCTTCTACTCCTCATTTCCGGACCCCAAAGCCTTTTGTTTCTTCTTCTTCTTGCACCAAGCAACTCAATTTTAATACGTAAATCCTTTATTTCCCCCCC